TGCCTTGCTCTGTTATTTGCTCCTCTTGTCTCCTCAATGACTCCATCGTTCACCACCTCCTCTATCCCTCCCATTGTGGGTCTTTTTAAGGATATGCAAACTTCCAACCTTGTGGTTGCTATATCTGATCCAAAAGATACTTCTGAATCAGGGGGATAAAAGTCTCCCACAGAGGTCTTCTTCCCCTATTTTTCCACCAAGGAGTTTGCTGGTTTCAGATCTGGATAAAGTTAACATCTTTGCAGCATCTTCAGATAGTTGTGCTGGACATCCTTGAAGTACATCCTGTAAATGCATTTTGTGTTTTCCAATTTGTTACGCCTTGTCCTGCATTTTGTTGCAGTGATCTTGATGATTATATGTGTATTTTGTCCATAAGAGTAGACCAACCTAGAGCTAGAGGCAGACTTATTTGAATGCAGGCCACACCATCTCACAGCTCACGCATGAAGTTAAAAAGTTAAATTTGATAAATGGCTAAATACAAGATAAAACCTCAACATTCCCAATACCCCCATCCCAACAATTGACACATGGAGAAGAATCTCTCTGCTCCATTTCAGTTTTGGATATATTTAGTCTTAGGTGTTTTGTATCAAATGTTTGCATCATTTTGCAAACCTAAGAACAAAATTCACATTTATTTTATACCGAGATGTCCCCTATAAATGCTTTATTTCTTTTATTTATTTATTTTCATAGTTAGATTCTCCACTTGGAGGTTATTTTATGTATAAGCACCTTTTTTTAAAAAAAACGGTACACCATTTTAAAGCAGAGAACTGCACTGAAACCAGCAGGAGACTTATAGAATCCCATGAACAACGTTCCAGTTGAAGAAGTACAACTTGGATTAAATAGCCTAAAAATGCAGCTACAAAAAAGAGAAACATCTCTAATGTCCTGAACTCAGAGCTAAGCTTTCAAAAAAAGAATGGGAATGAGGGAAACATTCAAAAAGGGGAGAAATCAGTCCATGAATGTAGTTTCTTAAACCTAATTCATTGTTGTATATTGCTATTAGCAGCACAATGTTGGTTGTTGTTACTGTTATTAGACCTCACTGATTTTCTGTGCACTGTCCATAGATCCTTGCCTTCAGGGTTTCATTTTAATGCTCTCAAAGCATTATATCCACATTATATCCTTTCTCCTTGAAGTAAGGAATGGGGCCACCATAATTTTCCCCTTAGCACAATACTTTTCCTGTGATGGGGTACATGGCGTCTTCCAGAGCCTGGGGAAACTAGAAAATGTTACCCTTCAGTTTGGCCGTCCTTAAATCAATTGGTTTCTTTGGCAAGGAATTAATAAGGATATAAAGTAAAATGATTCTGCACAGACATACATAACAAAGATAATGTTTTTCTACCGTTGAGAAAATAAAGAGTTAAAGCAACTGGCATGTGAACCGTGGGTAGAGACTGGTTTCTTAGTCATGCAACCTAAGAAATATAGAAAGTATAAACTGAACCCTAATCCATCCCAGTTTAAATTCTGGAAAAAGAAAGTTAGGTCTGTTGAAGTTAAAAAAATATAAACCTGCTACCTTCAGTGTATGAACTGGCTAATTTTGAGTCTTGGCAGCTTACTAACGTCAACACTTAGCCATTTTGTAACTGGAATGTGTATAATTTTAGAAAAAGTATATGGTGACATGATCAGTATTACTTATACTAAACAGCCTGTACTATTTTCATAAACCTGGCTTTCAGGTTATATAAATAAGTGAAAAAGAGCCATTTCCAGTATATAAACCAGTATGATTCCCCTGTTTATCTGCCCCATGGTGAAAATCATCCGTTCGTCGTTCCCATTCTTTGTTCTTCTAGTTCCCAAGCTGTGAGCCCTGCCAGTCTCTTATCTGATGTCTGCTAATGTTCTCTTGGAGCCCTTCATCTGGGACTTTGTCAAACCCACACTGAGAAGTTATTTCCAACCATTTTCACTCATACACCTACAGATAACCTTGCAACTAATTATATCCATTGTCTCTCTGGGGTATGTTCACACAGCTAAAGCACTAAAGACCACACCAAGATGCATTGCAGCTCTGATTAAGTTTGGTGCCAGATCAAATCATTTACAGCCATCCAGCTGATGGCGGAGTCTGGAGCCATCCAGCTTTTGTAATAAGCTGTGCTGTTGCTGAAGACTCTAGTTCTGCCACAGACCCACCCCTTGGCACTCGTATGAAAGAATGACTTCTTTTCCTGAAGCACAGGTGCATTCTTATTTTTAAGGGAGACAGGTTAATCTTCCCCATCCAGCCCAGAAAAATGCCTGGCAGGAGTCAGTCTCTCTATATTTCAAAGCACTTAAAAAAAAAAAAAGAAGTGAAATAATGTAATTCATTGCACGGTGCCTCAGATAAAATCACTGCAATCATGAATGATTGCACTTGGGGTTCCCTTAATACGCTCTGCAGGGCTGTCTCAGAACATCAGAATTGTGTTTCTATGAGAGATGTGTCTTCAGCATTATGCAAAACAGAGACTTTTAAATTCACTGTAATTTGCAGGCCTTTCCAGAAAAGTTAGGCAGCAGCCTTTTTTATTTTATTTTTCTTTTCACAGTATTACATTGTTATAAATCTCGATCTATTGTACAGTTTCCAGACAGTGTTGTTTATATGAAACGATGAGAGAGGATGAACACTGTATTATTTAGATAGCTTAGAGTACTGGAAATAGAGAAAGGAAAGAAAAAAAATTCTATCAATATGAATTACCATGTCAATATTACGAGCATAAAATTGTTTGGCTTGTTCATCCAAAGTTAAATATAACAACCGCTGCAACTCACATCAAAGTATTGGATATATGATAATGGCTTTGATTTTAAGCTAATTAATATTAAAATCTCCATTCTATTGTTACTATACATAGTGTCTTCGATTCAGTCTTGACTCCTGGCAACTGCCTGGACAAGTCCCTGCAGTTTTCTTGGCAAGATTTAGGAAGTGGTTTGCCCTTGCCTTCTTCTTCCTAGGGCTGAGAGGGAGGGACAGGCCCAAGGTCACCCAGCTGGCTTTGTGGGTAAGGCAGGACTAGAACTCAGAGTCTCCCGGTTTCTAGCCTGGTGCCTTTAACTGCTACACCAAACTGGTGTGCGCTCTCTCGCTCTCTCTCTATTTAACAACAGTTGAAATACCTAAAAGGAAAAAAAGAAAGGAGGAGAAGGGGAAGGAGAAGCAGGAGCAGGAGCAGGAGCAGGAGCAGGAGACTACTTAAGACTTCTTTCCAATATTATGGGGCCTGTGTCAAACAAAGGTTACTCTGCTACTCTTGATCTTGACCAAGGACTGCAATAGCTCAGCAGTGGTTGAGCCACCAGTAGGGTTTCATCTTGCCCTGTATAGCTGCTGACCCTGATCTGATTTGTCTGCTGGGATGATGTATTGATGTATTAAAGACAAATGGCTCAAAGACTCCTGAATAGCTGGAAGTTACATAAGAGGTGCTATTTTTAATTTCCTTCTCCTGATTTAAAAACAAAAAACCCAAACCAGACCCCCAAATCCTTATTGAACTAGCCCTACCAATCAGTTAAGACAGTGTTTTGGTTGTGGAAATTCAGTTTGGAGAAGAGGAGGCTTGATCAAAGTATCATGTATGAGACTTCGGATGTTTGTGGTTTTAAACTTGAATTTATTCTGTAAAATGCCACTTTTCCCTACGTGTCCCAAATTAATTTTCTTTGTGAGCCATCTACTGTTGCAACCTTAACTGACATCTGTGTACAACTCTTCCACATTAAAGTTTCAGATAAACCTAATAAAGACAAAGTAAGTGTTCAGGGCTTTTATTTCTGGTGTCCCACTTTCAGTAACTTTCAAACAACTTTCTGCTTTGTCTACGTGGTTGCATTCTCTTGGGTTATTGAAAATGGTCCATTTTTCCAATATACATTGTGATTATTCTTTATAAGAACTGGGGTGGCAGAGCTACAGAGGGTATTTTAGCTCAGTTCAGCCTTCTTCACCTTCCTAATTAGAGTAAGTTCATGTCTGTGTACATGTATGTTTATAAAGCTTGAGAAGTGGATAAGTGTGTGTGAATGTTTGCAGCTGGAGGAAAAGCTCAAATAGCAAGTGTGACAAGGAATGAAATTCAAAGGTCTGTAACTAGGACGATTGAGATTCTAACTCAGAATTCACAGAGCTGAATGCTGCTTTGAGTAATTATAGAATCAGGATGTTCACCTTTAAGAAAATTCTGGCAATTATTGTGACAGTAAAGATGATAATTCAGATTAGTAAACATCTCTTACATTTTTCCAGGCCTTGATTTATTTAACAGCTAGAATCAAGATGGTCCTCCTAAAATGTATGAGATTTCCTTTCTAAAATGTATGGATTTGATCACTTTTACAAAGAACATTATTTATTCTGTTAGATATATTTAGTTTGGAGTTTGGAGTTTTTTTAAAGACCTGTTTTAGACTGCTGAGTTCTGTGTTACACTTATTGAGGGATTTGTCTTGTTTTTATCTATTCTATTTATTTAATTTATGGTTTTACATACCAGATTTCTTTTATATAACCTACTTTAAGTACATGTTTCAACTAGTTAAAGGAATTATGGAACACAATCTTGACTATAAATATGGAGGACAAGATTTAGACTTGTAAAAAGACAGACCTATAGAAAGAGAACATGCTAAAAATAAAAGACTTATGTATGTTTTAAGATTCCATTCTAGTTATGCTGTCTGTTGTATGGAAGAGTTATTACAATGGACGACTTTTGATCGGCTGGATATAAGGGACACCTAAAAATTATTCATAAATCTTAAAATATTAAGTTGGGGCAACAATTTTCATAGAATACTGTAGCAAACCTTTGAGTTGACAAAGCCTTTATTTACCAGGACCCTTCTGCTAACAAAGTAACAAACCTACTTTGTGCTAACAAGCTTTAGCAACTTTCCATCTGCAAACTTGTGGTTGTCACTTTTTTAGATACTTGACTTAGCATTCTCCCATTGTTGTTCCTTAGGTCTTCCCCACCAAAAATGAACCAGCAACTGAGAGATCTGCAGTTAGCCCAAGCTAGAAAGCACCCTGGACCGTCATCTCCAAATGCCGCCAAGAGGCTCTATCGGAATCTCTCTGGAAAATTCAGAGTTAATTATATGTCATTTGATGAAGGAAACCTAGCAGGAAAAGCTGAAAAGGAGAAGCAGCGAAAATCCTACCTGGTAAATAGATTGTATTACCTGGTCCGAGCAAGTAGCTCAGTGGGATTTTAGAATTTTCATGGCCTGTTACCCCAAGATAAAGGTGTCCAAAGGAAACATGACCTTCCATCCTAATGTTTCATTCATTGAATGTTACTCTTGGAGTCTCCCTTTGCTTCCCATTTCCTTGCTCATATAACGTGGTGGTGGCTTGGAGAAGAGGGAAGCAGCCAAGCTCCTATCAAATGCCCCGAGAAAGCTTCTGAGACTAGGGAAGGGCAAGTGCAGTTGGGTTCCATCTGAAAGTAGGTCCTGTTCCATTAATACCACCGTAGGACATTTGTTTTGTACATCTAATCGTGAAGGGATTTCAGCTATCCATCTACCTTCTGCTGGAAATTGGAGTTTAGAAGTTCTTACACCCAAATCTCTTCCTGTCTTGAGGGTTGGACCAAGTAAGTTTCCAATATATGAACCTGATGAGAGTAGATGCAGCCTACAATGAAGCTCCCCATTTTATGTCCTTTCAGGCAGCTGACCCTCATGGATTAGTACTCTTCACTCCAATATGACAAACGTTTGTTCTTGCACAAATGGTACAGTACAATACATTAGATCCTACCTATCATGCTAATATCATCCTAGAGAAGAATGTGAAACAGGTCCTTGATAAGTAACAAGCTTTGCTCTTTTATTGGCATTCGATTTCAGAGTTTCTCTAGCAAAATTATCAAAGTTGGCTTAGTTAGTAAGCTGATGATGAGTTCAACCTTGGGTGAAGTTTTCATGCTTTGTCATATTCTTGGCTTGCAGTTCAGTTCATTGTTGCTCAATGCTCTGAATCAGTGTTTCTCAACTGTGGCAACTTGAAGATGGGTGGACTTCAACTCCCAGAATTCCCCAGCCAGCATGAGCTGGCTGAGGAATTCTGGGAGTTGAAGTCCACACATCTTGCAAGCTGCCAAGGTTGAGAAACCCTGCTCTGAATAGTGTTATGAATACAGTCAACATAGTGTGAATTGCAAGTGAGGAGGCAACCATACTGTATTCTGCAGGGGGCTGGCTTTTGGAATGATCTGCTCCATCTTCCCTTTCCCCATCCTAACAGATGTATATGAATAAGGAAACACAAGGTAAGGTAAGGTCTGTAGAATGACTGGGATAGCTCCGATCTAGCAGATGGTGTCTCTTTCCTCCTCTCTGCAGTTTCAAGGCAATGCCGCTCTCTTTGAGGCTGTTGAGTTGCAAGACCTGGATAAGGTGCAGGAGTTGCTCAAGCAATACAGTCTGGAGGAACTGGATCTTAATACCCCTAATAGTGAAGGTCTCCTGCCACTGGATATTGCTATCATGACCAACAACGCACCCATTGCAAAGACACTGTTGCTGGCTGGAGCCAAGGAAAGTCCTCACTGTAAGTCAGAAACTCTTATGACCCTTGGCCTCTTCCAAGCTCTTTCTCGTGGATATTCTAGGAATTCTCTTCTTCCTAATTTCCCGATAATATGAGCTGTAGAAATTCTGCTGTTCTTTGAACGATGGAAAATAGCAAGCATTTAAAAGTGTAATTATGTGGGAGAGGAACTAAACAGCATGATCATATCTTTTAGATGCCACTATGGATTATTATAGGCGCAGCCTGAGCTACAGTTTCGATGGTCTGCCTTTCTCCCATATCTTTCATAATTGCAAGATGTGCAGGGGAGAGAGAACTAGTCGAGAGGTTGAACCATGTAATCATGAAAGATGTAAAGATGCTTTCTTGGATGAGATGAGATTCAACCAATTTTGGTGCATGCCATTACAACTGAAAGCCAGTTTATGAGGAGTACATGACCTGAAAACTGTAGTTCTGAATCGGATGAGCTGTCTGAGATGCTGCTATGAGCAAACATTGAAGGAGACTCAACTGTCTGCATCTGTGTTTGGTTTTTACTGATACGTTCCTGGGGAGATGATCCTGGGAGTAGATTCATCCATTGGAAGAGGTGGGAGAGCAGCATAGAATTCCAGCTATGTTGCTTATCGTTCTGGAATCCACCACCTGATGAATGTCCACGTTGGCTCTCAAGAGCTCATCATGAATAGGACTGGTTTCAGGTGGAAGAGAGAACAATGAAGAGGGCTGTTTGTCTTCCTTCAGATTTCTGCCTTGCAGCAGCAGGAAAATCTTCAGCTCTAGTTATTTGTGGATGAGGAAGTTAGTGTCCTGCCATTAGGGTCAGGAACAGAATTGCCCTTTTTCCTATCAAAGCCTTCCTCTGAATGGGAACAGAAGGGGGCGTGACTTTGAATAAGCGCTCTGGAGCCTTCTTTTCCTGGCACTGTGACATCGTGCCTCAAGTTCTTGTACACACTCTCTGAAGAGGTTGTGCTGGATGCAATCCCTGACATGTCTTCTTGCTGGGTGGCCCACAGAGAGAATACCCAGAGGCCTAGCTGTCAATATAGGTAATAATGGGAGCTCAGCAAAAGGAGCGCTTGCCTGTCAGGAAAACGAAGGGATTCCAGGGAATAAAACATCTGCCCTCTAAATCGCAACAGGGGTCTTCTCCTCTTGTTCATCATGCATGAAGGTTGAGCAAGGGGCAGGTACCTCACACAGACCGCTTGTAAAGACTGGGCTTCAGCTGGGGGACTTGTAGCACATTTTCTATGTGTGGCTGCTCAAAAAGCAGCAATATCTGGCCATCTCCTGTGTGATGGGACCTTTGGCCCAGATGCTACCTCTGTATGTTTCGCCCAATACCCAGTTGCTGGTTCTTCGTGCTGCTGTTGGCAAATTTCAATACACAGCTGCTTACTAAAGGTCCCAGCCGCTGGGGTGGGTTGGGGGGTGTGCCTGTGTGCAGCTATAAAAATGATTTTTGTACAACCAACTCCAGGAGTAAAACTGGAAGGGAATGTACTGACATGGAAGCAGAGCGTGAGATCGACCGGAATACTTTAATCATGGATTCATCACGATAATTAGCATGACTTCAACATGCACATGTGAATGATGCAGATTTTAAACGATTAAAAATCACAACCCGCTAGGTGTTTTGTTGTTGTTGTTCAGGAGAGGAAGGCAAAAGCTTTCACATTGTTTAGTGCTAATTCTGTTAGGAAGGAAGGTTCATTTTTCAATGTTATTTTTCTCTGAATAAAAGCAAGAGGAAAATCACAGCTGCGATCATCTAACTGCAAATTTTATAGCTTTGGGAGTGTTCAGGCCCAGCATTTATACTCTTCTGCTCAACGAATAAATGGTAGCAACTCTTTTCTGATCAGGAATTCCTTCTCCTCTTCTTCCTCCACCTCCTCCTTTTCCTCTTATTATTATCATTATTAGTATTAATAAAATAATGGCATACCAAGTATAGTGGAATACCTTGGAATGCATTTCTAACTTGTTATCCAAGAGCTTGTTTTGAACTAGAAAGCAGATCTTGTTGTTTCTGCTGACCAGAGATGGACAACAGATTCTGTCCCAACCTGGTCTCTAAATCTGCAAGAAAAAGAGGCCAGAAGAAACAGCTCTGGTTTTATCTAAAAATCTGAATCACAGACTATCTCCCTAACGTTGCTTAAGAAATAAGGATGGAGACGAACTACTTGGATTTTCCGAATTGGTAGGCATGGGCCATTCTTTGGGTCTAAATCCATAGAGAATCCCTTCAGAAATGTAGAGGGGATTGTCTCTTGCCACCTCCTCCTTTTTCTCTTAATGTTTTCCTTTCCTTTCCCTATCTTCCTTTTTCTCAAAAGTTGTAAGCCTGGAAAGTCGGTCTTTGCACCTGGCAACCCTGGTTCGGGAAGCAGAACAGCGGGTTAATGATCTCACTGCACAGGTGGTGAACGAGGTGCCCAACACAGAAAGCTCCGAAAAAGAGAAACAGCTGAAGGCTTGGGAATGGCGCTACCGGCTTTACAAGCGCATGAATGCTGGATTTGAGCATGCACGTGAGTCTTTGGAAAAATAGGGCCCTCTACATTGCCATTCAGAAAGATCAGGAATGGGGGCAGACCAGTTGATCTTTTGGATTATTGGAAGAAATATGGAATCCTTCCAAACTAACCATCAGAAAAGGGAAGCCAGGGCCATGCAAACCAGTGCCCACATATTGGGTTAGAGTCCTCCATGTTGACCGTCTCTAAGAAGCATGTTCTCTGTTCTTCTTCTTGGTGTAAGCAGCTGTAAATGTAGTGAGTCAGAATATTTATGTCTCTTGTTCTTGAAGCAAGTCACTATTTAGGAGGAGTGGCCGAATGACAGTAGGTTTCCCAGTCCTGTTCCAAGAACCCTTTTGTTGGGCAGAAGTTTGAAACCACATATTTTTCCTGAGTATACTGCTGTGCGTTAAGGGAGATTAAGATTCATCATAGCAATTGGTGGCTTGTAATCAGCATGTCTTGTAGAACACCCTAAGATGACTCAAGTAGCAGCAAGCACGGTTGGCAAAGCAATCAATCTCCAGCTGTCCAGCTTATTTGAGTTTGAAGGAAAATTAACTTCCAAACCTAGCTAACAGAGCTATAATGGGTGTGATATTGCTTGTATCACCAACCAACTCTTTTTGGGCACAACAGTTCTATTTAAAACACTCTCTGATGCTGTGGGTAGAAGATGGAAAACGTAGAATCTCAGAAGACTTGAATTCTTGGGGGAACTCTGACTTCCCTATCTTCTGTGATGACCTTCTGAGCTATTGTCTTCCAAAGTGAAATGCTTTGGTTAAAACCGACTCAAACTATATTTGGTGTATGGCTGGAAATAAAGGATCTTAATTTAACCAACTGAAACTTTCATCTTAAGACTTAAGATGTTATTTTAAGCCTCCCCTATTTGACTGCTAACTTGACAATGGGAAGAATTAATCTCATCTCCTGTACAGGTTCATTCCTCCTGAATGGAATACAGTTGTGTTTATGTCAGTCCCACTAGGTAGACCAGACCAAGAAAACAACTCCACAGGAAGGCTGAAACTACTTTTATTTGAGACTGTCCATAATAATAGAATCTTGTAAGTCTGATTGTGCTATACTTCCTCCCCTTTCTTATATTCCAGTGAATTAGGGAGGTGTCTGTCTGAGCCAATGCTATCTGGCTGTTGTAGGCTTAAGATGTGTTCTTCCCCTCATTGCTTTGCTAATGGAGTTTGCATATCTCCGCTGAGGTCATCTTTCTTACGTTCTACAATTTCCTTTCCAAAATGTTTGTTTTGTTTTCATTGTGAGTAACAAGTGGACTATTAATTTGGCTTGGATGGAAGAAAGAAACGTTCCTTTTGTACATCTGGATCGCTTTTCCTGATATCTGTGCTGTATTCCTCCACCCCACCTCAGGGGTTCCAGATCCACCTACAAATGTTCACCTTTCGGTGGCCAGCAGTACCTCGGTAGAAGTGTCATTTCAGGAGCCCTTAAGCGTCAATTCAGCGATTGTCACCAAATACAAAGGTAAGCCTTTTGGTGTCTCAGCAGTAGCAGTGAGTGAGACATTCTGAGCATGAAACTTGAAATGTTTTTGACCCTTCTTTCTATCCCACTTCTGTTCACGGTCACTTAATGACCTGAATCAATGTCATCATTTTTTGACACCATATGTTGTTCTGGAAACACAGTATGGAAAAAGCCTTATTCTTTTGGGGGGACAGGAAGAAGGAGCTGTGATTTATTGCTGTGCCCAAATGGAGGCAACTCTAGACTTGGATTGTCACTTTCTGCTCAAGTTTTTGGTCTTTCTCCTTTTGGGGTTGCTCATAGCTCTTCAGACTGCTGATTGGACCTCTTGTCATTGAGCATCCTTCCTGGTGTTCACACCCGCTTCCAGAAACATAGATTTCCCTCACTTTAAATCATCATAAGGTTGACTTTCAAAAGAGCTTTCCTCTGCCAGTCATCCCCAAATCTTTTTTCTATGCCTCTTCCTTTGCTACCCCCTGCATTTCCTTTGCTTAGTCCATCTGTTATCCCCTCTGTTCCTTTATTTCTTTGCTCATCTCTCTGTTCTTTCTCATATGCTGAGATAACAGTTCCAGTAATCTTATTTAGAGATCTATTTTGCACATTAGACCAGGAGGTCTATTTTTCTTATAGCCAAAAGATGTGTAGGTCCGGTTGCTGTTCTTGCTTTTAATTTATGCCTCCCACCCCAACTTCCAAACTCTTCAGGGCCTTTTTCTCAGACATTTTTCCAGCGTGCACAGCTGGTCATGCTATAGTTGGATTTTCAGTTTCGCAATCAATCCCCTTCTAGCAGCTGTAGTGTGGCTGGCAGCCCGGATCTCTGATCGAACTCCTTTTGCCTGCAAAGCCCTCGTTTTTCCCCTCCTGACGAAAGTCTCCCAATTACTGACCAAGTGGTGGTTCTCTTCTTGTCATTGCAGTTGAGTGGAGCTGTTCCCCCACTTTTTCCCCACTGCTGGGCGAAATGGTGATTGACAAGCTGAAAAAACTACATATCACCATCCATGGCCTTGTCTCGGTGAGTGTGTCCCTGTGTGGAGTGTTGAACTTTGAGGCTACTTCAGGGTTTGACCCCAACTGACCCCAATCTTTTCTCACTCCAAAGATGTAAGACCCTTCCACAATGACCTTCTGCCCACCCCACAGCAGGCAGACGAAGATTCCCAAATGCTTTCAGTCTGCTTTTGGTAACAAATGCACCCATTTGAACGACTGGTAGATTTTCACCCACTGCAACGGATGTTGTAGTTAGTGGCACAAGATCTGTGAAAAAATGGTGGTGGGTTCAGGAGCTAATATGTATAATTTGCAAGGCTTCAAGAAGAGCACTAATTCTCTGTGTTAAATGCTATACTTAATTTGGGAGTATAAATTCCAGATTCGGTTAAACTTTCCATGTCAGGTAAGTGCACTGAGTTTGTGGCTTATTACAGAGGTGTGAATGATCATAAACACTTTCCTCACGGCAATAAGCATTCAGATCTCCCAGAGTTTCTTCTGTATTGGGGGACCATCCTGCTTATTTTGTCAGCGTTCCAGAAACCTGGATGCTTTCTAGCAGCCCTGAGTGCCATTTGGGTGACTGGGAGAGCCGGGGGGTGGGGGGGACGAAACTCTAGAGTTAAATGAAAGCTGCTTCCTTTTACACTGGAATGCCTTTTAATCCAGTTTGCTGTGACGATTGAAACGATGGTGTCATGTTGTCTGAGGTGATGACATCACTCGCACGCATGACAAAGCCCTCTCAACCATCACAGCCATTCCAATTAAATTGCTGGGTGGACGAATGAGACGGTGGGAGCCAAGAACACCAAGGAGAAGCAGCTGTCTGAGAAAGAAAAGACCAAAACCATCATTGGGCCCCTGCCAACTTTTAGCAAGAGGCACAAATGTTCTGGTAATCTCTTGGGACGTATTGAATATATTATTATGAAGGTGAACCTCAACGTTAGAAAGCGTTGGATACAGCCCTGGTGGGTTTTTTCTCTTTTTTTAATTGTGTATGTGTGTGTGTGTGTGTGTGTGTGTGTGTGT